TTTTTTTAGTCTTATCTCTTAGAAATGAGGTCGCCAACTAAAACCTTTTTACAAAATATCTCTACACTGTACACATCATTATTTATTTAATTATTCCACACATCTCCATGACTTTATTTATCACATTTACCCACTTATTTCTTTGGTTCACTTTTAACACTGAAAACTTCTCATCTATAGCTATCAATCCGCAGATTGCTTTGATGTCAAAACGGGTCCTGGAAAATAGATTTATGGGGCTTTAAAAATTTTAAAATGATAAAATATTTTATAATTGAAATATATATTTTTGAGTTACTAATGCAGTTTTTTTTTATTGTGTGAACTGTATCGTCTGACTCTAAGCCGATAAAGTTATTCACTTATGATTCGTTTCAATAATAATTTTTAATTAATCAAATTATGCCTACTTAAGCAGCAGTCTCTATTAACTAACGGTAAAATCTATTTTCGACATAACCACGACTATATACACTTTAGTTTCAGCAATAATTTCCAAACGGCGGTTATGATAATTAACTTTATTAAATAGAGTCTATTATCGCAATTTTTTCCATTATAATAATATTACACATTTGTTATTATCGGAGTCTGACGACCCGGAGCCATTTTTTCCCATAACCTTCAATTATAAGACCTCGAATAAAGTCGTGCACTTGACCGTCATTTCTTTAAATTATACACTGCAATAATTACATCGGCATGCTATTATAAAAAAAATATGGCCATATTAATAATTAATATATGTGTTATCACAAGGAAGATGGTGTGAGCTTTGAGCATTTAAGACCAAAGGTACAGACATATCTCTTTAGGTACCCGGAGCCCTTTGGAGTGTTTCTATTGTGGTCTCATTCAGGAGTCCCTGAATGTATGGTGTCTGTGTTCTCCTATGGGCAATGGGTAAACGGGCGTCCCGCAGACGGTTCAGGAGACTCGTGTAACTGTCACTATACATAGGGATAGGCTAAATATAGTAAACCCGTAGGATATCGAGCTCCGTGGAGGTGGAGGACTAGGGTAACCGGTCCCATGTAGTTGGCAGTGTAAGGCGAAGATGAAGAACAAGACTATAAACCGGTCGCCGGTACAGTCTAGAGCGGTGAAGATCGAATATACAATAATAATATTATGTACACACAGTAAGCCCGGCCTATTGAAATATATTCATCATTATCTGCCGGTCCACGAGAGTTTCCAATTAAATTTCCACGGCAAGCGCCGGCGACTGAGCTGTTGTCGGCGTGTCTAAGTATTATGCTGCCGTTGGTCTATTGTTATTGGAATAGACAAATTGAAAACGGCGTTCCGATTTGCATGCTTCGATACCGATTGCGAGCCGTCTGATAATACATAGACGGCATTCAAGTGCAGTCTAATAGGTATCATGTGTTTGGGTGCCAGAACACGGTGTGTGCATGTGTGTGCGCGTATGTAGAAAGTATTTCTAATCGATCAGCAGACCGCCTTTATTCGCGGCTAATTCCGTTTGCGCATCGTGTTCGCTTTCGGTTTGTTTCATATTTTTCAGCATTATTGTTGTTGTTATTATTTTCCGGCCCGTTAACACCGGCCATCGGCTAGGTACCGGTCAATTGGCTCCGAAAGCAAATCTCTCCGTCAATACAATTTATAAATAAATATAAATATTATTATTATCATGATATAATGACGTTGTGCTATGGCCGGTGCTTCTTATATTGTACGTATCACAACAAAATATAATATTGTGTGGATAAAAAATGGATTATATTCGCCGGATGTCGTTGTGCGAGACCAATTGGCATCAAAAAAAAAAAAAATTAAAATAATATATTCATTTTGTTATTGGTAACGTGTGAACCTCGTACAGTAGAATTCCCAAAGACGGTAATAACAATTAGCACTCGACATCCTATCGCACGGTGTAAGCGCACACGTTATGTATTTTTTTTTTTTTTTTTGGTACAACAAGACGAAAACGCAAGTGAGTCTCGACCACGGGAAGTGCCTTGTTATTTTTGGCATGTTGATTTTTGAGTTTGTAATAATCGTATTATGTTGTACATTTTCTTCGGCCGATTCGAAAGCGAAAGAAAACGAATTCGAATAAGAAATAGTGAAACTTTTCGCGAGTACGAGAATCATCGACATCCTCTTTTTGCATGCGTTACATTATGTTGAATATTTGGGTAAAAGTTTCCACGTTTAGACAACTCTTCAGTTCAGGACAATATGAAATAAAAGAAATATGAATTAAGTTGACCACAGTTTGCTTGGTGGTCAAGATAGTCGATTGTGTTAAAATGCGTTTCCAGAGCAATATAGCTTAAGAGATTGTACACTAAATCCGTATTTAATCAAACGTTGCACTTAAAATTACTAATTGGAATACATTTTTCATCTCGACATTCATAACGCTGTCAATCTCTGGAAAGAGTTTTAACTAGGCAGCTTCTAATACCATATGCCAATATGTTGTTATTGAGTGATAAACAGTGATATATGTTGGCTTAAATGTGACACGTTGGATATATTTTTCGAAGCTCGTATGTTGCGAAAATCGTTTTTAAAAACAAACATTCTATAATCATTCTGCTCTGTATTTCTAAAGGAAACATGATGTCTATCAGGACTGAAAGATATTAGTTGTTAGGGAGGGAAAATAATTTACAATTGTTTTAAAAAACTAAAAAACATAAATCAGATTTGTTACGTATTAGCACAGAACATGCTTTAGCCTTGGCCTCCCAGCCCGAAAAAACGACACTAAATGGCGATACTAAAGTAGCGGAATAACTAAGCAACAAGAATATTGTTTATTTGGCCAGAACATATAATTAAGACTATACTATCATAATAAATTACAAGGAGATCAGAAATAATCACTATTCAAGCAGGCTAAAGCATGTTCCATGTTTTATAATCTCAAACGTGAGACTTTAAGTAGACCGTAACTTTTATTTTAGAAAATTATAGTTTATATTTTGATTCGTGTACAACGCGTTCTAAACTATAAATTCTAGTCGGATAGCTGGGTAACTGTTAAATATTTTTTAGTGTATCTTAAAACTATTATTGTACATTTTTAATTTTTATATGACAGGTCGAGAAACGTCGAAGACTAATGCACGCCGTTCGATGGTCAGTCAAAGATTTATGTAGACGAACAAAAATCGCCGAATCACCGAGATCGCTGAATAAACAAGCGACGTACTACGACATTACTGTACTTGAGACGTGGCGAAAGTCTACGGTGTTTTTCTTTTTATATTACAATCAAATATGAAAAAGTAATGTCGTTACAACCCGGTATGTTTGTCTGACCTAAAAGTCAAAAACGTGTTCCGTGTCGGTGAAACCACAAATAAAGCGCATTGCTTATTCATAACAATATTACTGCGAGACCCTCAGAGCTGAGCCGAGTTCAAACACATGTGGGGATGTTGGAGTAGACCCACTCGAGTTTATAAGACAATCAAACACTTAAGAAGATACACGACCTATTCGGCACATTAGCCATAAGCCTCGACCGCCACTGTATCTAGGTCGACCCAGAGCAGCTCCCCTAAATGACGTTAGTTATTCGCAAAATACAATTACTAAGGTCATCAGTCCGGGGCAGATAAAATAACACTTTTTGTAAAAATTCTTCAACATATAATAGTAGATTACTGTATGTCCCACTGTACTCTTTCACAAAACTTCGGTAGTTACGTTAACGTCGAGTAAAATACTTTTTTCTATTACATTGTCCGTCCATTATTTTAGAGTGGCTTAGCGAGATCTACAACACAGCATAGCACTGATGATGATTCGTATTCCACGAAAAATTTGTCTCCAAAACAACCTGTCCTCTACTTATCCATTTATACTTATTATATTATATACTAGTCCTAGTTACCAAATAACAAACTTTGATCGTCTAACCACTGTGTGATGTACCAGCCTAGTAGTCTTGAATTGAAATAAAACTAAAAGGGTGTAAACAATTAATGTACATTTTTATTTTTACTTCAATTTAATAATTCATAAGAGCTTTTAGTTTTATGATATTCATATTTGTAGATTGGGTTAAATAAGGACAAATTTTAGTTATAATGAGTTAGATTACTAACAAAATGGCGCTTTTAGGACAATAATTGAAAAATGTTATGAGATATATTTTGGCACAGAAATTAATAAAGAGCGTATTGGAAAATAGAAACTTCGGAGCTCATTCGTCAAAAGTTAGACCCAAGGTATAATATACTAGTTATATATTTTTTACGGGCTACAAGTCAGTCATATTTTGTGTATAATCGAATAAAAACTCTACATGGAAAAACAATTTATCAAGTATCCGTTTTCCTTATTTAAAACCGTCAGTAATATGTCGCTGTCAATTAACATGCTAGTATTAATTTAATATTAGATACTTTGTGTTGTCCTTTAAGTGTAATAATTGTCGAAAACGTAGAAGGTATATTATAATATTGTAGTTTTTTTTCTTCTAAATAATCAAAAACATGTTTGTGCTATTTCTGTAAAAAAAAAAAAATGGAAAGTCGACAAGTCACTTAAAAAATAAAAATTCTTCAGTATCGTTCGTTGTACAGATAAGAAGATCATACATGATACACGCGTTCGTGTTGTTCTTGTGCATTTTTCGCTGACTTTGTGACAACTAGGAGTTAGTACCACGACAGTGATAATCAGCATCGTTATATGACATTATTATTTATGTTTTATTATAAACCCCGTCCCGTCGCGAGTCCACGATTTGCGCCCAGAGACACGCGTATCGTGGTTTACCGTGCGACGGCCCAGCGAGACCGAATCTGTCGCCACACAACAATGGTCGGCGGCTGTGCTGTGGGAATATGAAAGTGCTTTTTTACGCCGGCAGAGTGTTAAAGGTCAAGTGCGAGCGTGTTCCGGGCGGGGAGACGGCCCTAGGAGAGCGCGCGTACGCCCGGGCCCCCCTCTGACGGGTGTATAAAACCTATCGGGCGGCAAACAGCCGATGCAGTGCACGTTTCGTCGGTACATTCGTAGGACACACACACACGCATACACGCACATCACGCAAACGCACCCGATCAAGATGACCGTTTCCAGGAGCAACAGCGGCAGCAGCAGCAGCACGAGCGGCGGTGGACGTTGGACGTTGTTGTGCGTGGCCGCTCTGGCGTTCGGCCGGTCGGACGCTTGCGGCCACGCCGAAGACCCGGTGGCTTGCCTCAAGATGAAGGCCATCGCCACGCTCGACCGGGCGTCCCGGGCGGACAGCATACCGCTGGCGGATTCGCTGAGCCTGGTGCGACGGGACGGCGACCGTCCGGACCGCGCCGGCAGGGCCGTCACCGAGACCGAACTCGAAGCCGCGGTACCGGCCGCCGGCGATCCGGACACCAGGCACGACAAGCTCAACCGCATGTTGTTCGACACCGTGGCCAGGCTGATCAACGGTTACGTGCTCAGAATCGGATTGCCCAGCATGACACCCGAACAGCTGAGGACATCCATCGAAGAAGGTAAACCCACTTAACCGTTTGCACGGCAATACTCTATATTTACTCACCACTGTTTACGCTAACTGATAGTCAAAAAATTACACTTGTAACAAATTTTAAATTTCAATTAATTTCTCAAATAAAAACATAAACACAAATTTCCTAAAAGGTGCGAAGTGTACAATTACCAATGTTAAAACTTAGACTTAAGGCGTCAACTTTAAAAGCATGGACGGACTGTGATAAAATATCGTCCCGAGCGATTCTAAAATTTGGTCTACTATTAGTCTTAAGGTCCGGATAAATATTCTCTTAAAACACCTAAAATATGATTCTAATATTCTCTAAAAAACCTACAAATATTCTCCATATATTCTCTTAAAAATTAGAAAAATAAACAAAAATAATGAATGAAAATCAATATTTCCTTTATTGAAATTGAATATTTACTAAATATTCTTCTAAATTTAATTCTGACTTGAATTAAATTGAAGTACAATTTAAATTACTTACCACTTATTTAAATTTTATTATATGAGTTAATAATTATGTATTCCTCGATATTCTCTGGGCTCATGTTAGTTCTTCTATCGCTTAAAAGTGTTAGTAGAGGCTAAATAAACGTTCAACATCAACTGATGTTAAAGGAGCAAATTTCATATCAGCAACTACACTAGGGGTGAAATGTTCTGGGAGATTTTCATTGTTTCCAGATAAAATGTTCCCAACTTTTCCTAACATTTGGTAACCTTTATTTTTTCCACATAATTGAGTCACTTTGGTTTTTATAATGTTACCCTTTTCACCAGGTTATTGGTCATTTTGTAAATTTTTGTTGTTCTTATCAGCATGAAAACGATGCAGTATGCAGGTTAGCCACCATGTTTGGTAAACAGCACGGCACGACGCGGCGACTTAATAGTAATATCACTGCGTGTATTTTTTTTATGAAAATATTAATTATAATAATTTTAAAATTAAAATAAATTATTATGTTTTTCTCACAATTTACAAAATATTCCAAAATATGCTAAATAAGCTAAATATTCCCTAAACCATGAAATATTCTCAAATATGCAAAAAAAACTTTTTCCTATGAACTCTGTGATGAATGAATCGTCCACATTTTTTACCCTCATAAGACTGCATATACTCAGTAACAATATGTAAAAACATATAAATCCGGACTTTAGGTCTATTACATAAAAATCATCCCTTTTTAGTTAATTTATACTTATAAATAATGAGTATAACGGCTAGAGAAGTCCAAAACTTCAGAGACCCTGAGACCGATTACCCTCTCGTCTTCAGCCCAGTCTGCCACTGCTTTAAAATATTGTTTGAGAAAATTTGTCTAGTTAATTTATTTTATACGCTATTTTAACGAGGTGAAATTAGTGTAAGGAAAACAATACGGTGGTTTTAATACCGTTGAGAAAAATCGTTTACCGTGCACACGGTTCGTTTGTGATACCTTTAAACACTCGAGTTACTGATGAAATTACTACTTTAATACACAGACGTCCTAAAAAGAGGGTTAAATGTGTAAATATGTATTATTATATTAATGACACAGTACAAAAAATATAAAAATAAAAATATGGTCGTTACAATAACATTATAAATATTATATAATGATTTTGATTACAGGCTTAAATTAAAATAATTGATAATTATATTCTATCGAGATATACCAACGATAATGTATTATTTTTCCGAGCGATTTACCTAATTATAATTATCATACATAATTCGAATCGTTTTAATCCCTGCCTCTGTATGGCAAACTTTTTATAACAATTTTGGTTTTGATGCACTCAAATAGTTAAATTAGAATACAACTGTAACAATAAAAATTCTCTAGAAAAAAAATACTCTTAATACCTGGTTGTGAAAGACTTAATTGGTTTCATAAATAATATTATTTCTACTTTCTACATTTTTCTATATTTTTAGTACTAGGCGTTAAATTCGAACACGATTCACGAGAGCAATAAAGTTTTGCGCAATCCAGTGTTAATGTAATTAGTACTTCATCCGCCACAATAATTATTGTATTGTAGGCCGGATAAAAGCGGCGAGACCCACCTAGCATTTTCAACAACTCCAACGCAAATTAATTTTTTATTTCCTCTTTTCCAAACAAAAATGTGTGTAACTTCAAAAGTACCACACTGATAAATAAAAATAGCATTAACATATTATTCGAATACATTACTAAGCAATAGCTCTTTTATCCACAATACCAGGCCGGTAGAACTTATTATTATTTTCGCTAATATATGCGACGCTTCTTCGTGACTTACGATTTTTACGGGTTGTGTTCTGTACACACCGTGTATTATAAGTCGCATAGCACTAATAATAATAATAATATCATGACTTCTACCAGGCCGGCAATTTCAATCCCGTTTTAACGACCCGAAAACAGTATATTGTATTCGGACGACTCAAAAATAAGTGTAACGAAGATACTCCAGCTATATTGTACCTACAGCTAATATTATAATGACCAACTTACATATATAATAATATATACTTACTAATATAATATTACACACACACACACACAATCGCATAAGGTGGTCCGTTACTAACACGAAGGTACTCTATTTGCCGTGTCAGACCATGCACGTTGTTATTGGCCCATTGTTACTATTATTTATATTTATTATTATTTGTTATACACGTTTTACACAATGATATTTCCGCCAGCGTGATAACATTGTGATTTTACATACGACTAGGTCGGTTCCGTTTCCATTTCGAGTCCGAACCGAACCGAAATAACATAATAATAATTCGACGGAACGCCGAATTCGAAGCATACGCCAACAGCTAGACGTACATATAACTATAATCTATGCAGTACTCGTATTTATTTATTTTCATACCAACATAGTACATTGTAGTGGTGTTATAGATGCGACCTACGCAATTATATATTTTCGGTGTATGTACAATTTTTGCGCTTGGGCCTAGTTGCGTAACGGCAAAGTACATTTCACAAGTATTTTAATTCGATTTGACGGACAGCCTAATGGTAGGTCTACCAAGAATCTGCCATTACCAGTCATACTAGTGTATGATATCAAGTACCTTCTTCCTGGCCTACCCGATAAACAAAAGTGACAGTTCACACGAATTCCAGGGCCTATTCTTCACACGCTTCCCTACATTCCCTACTGTCTACTGTCAATGCTGCTAGGCGAAAAGTCCTATGAATTACCTTTGAGGGTGGAAAGTTCTTCTTTCCCGGTTTGCTTCTAAAAGACATATTTTATCCCTTTTACACTCCCGACCTTTGTAAACTGTCCGGGTTTCCTCGCTATCGTCATACCTTATCATCCAATAAAACAAGTTTTAATGATACATAATATATAGTTTAGAATCATTCACATTTTTCGGATCATCCGAATTCTAAGGCATCTTACAACGCCGCGATCGAAATGTGGTCGCAAAGGTAGACAATATAAGCCTTTTTTCAAATAAACTATTTAAGTGTTGTTTTTTGGCCTATTGGTAATCTAATAGAAATATCCGGTAATCCGGTGTACAGAATGTATAGTGATTGATCATCTGTTATGTTCCATCCATCTGTCTTGATCGGCGTTGTTTCCAACTTTATCGGCATTATTTGTATCAACAGCTGACACCTGTTTGATTACACGGAATGTAAGAAAAATCTTGCTCTCGGTGTACGCATCCTAGATCATTTATAACAATAAAATATGTAACAATGCAATAATATCATTGCGACACCCCTAATATTACTACAGCTATTAATACATGTAAAAACGACAAAAGATATCCTGTTGCAGGTATAAGATTAAATTAATTTTGATGTCGTTATTCAATTGCAGGACGAGGAAAAATGAAGAAAACCATGGGCATGATGATGACTGGCATGGCGATGAAAGCCATGATGATCATCCCGTTGGCGATCGGCGTGCTGTTCCTGATGGCCGGCAAAGCCTTGATCATTAGTAAAATCGCTCTGATCCTGTCGTTGATCATCGCACTCAAGAAGCTGATGATGAGCAAGTCCTCCGAGCACGTGGTGCACGAGGCGCATCCGTCAAGTGGTTGGGCGTCGGGCGGCGGTGCGGGCGGTGGATGGGACAAGAGGTCGGCGTCGGTGGCCAATCAAATGGCGTACAGCTCATACAAGCAATAAGATGCCATCAAAGCGAACAACTTAACTAATCAACGTCTCTGTGTGTATGATGTCATTGATTTTATAATATTCACAGAAAACCAGACTTAACTGATCTATACACGAACCCGAAGGCGGCCGATTTCAAACGGTATTTCCGCAGATAAAAATTAAAATATGGAAATCCCGCATGAAAACGGTTGCCGCGCCGGATTTATGTGCAGCGAGTGGCTTATTTGTATATTATAAAATCAACGATGTTAACGATTTTCATATTTATTATCGCGCCTTAAATTATTTATTGATCATAATATTATTATTTATTTGTAGCGTAGTTAGTTTTTTTAGCGGTCGCGTGCCTATTATAACCGCGACGCCGACATCTCATGTCTTGTGTGTTATTTTATTAATTTATTATTATCGCATGTGTAGTCAAATATAACGAAATTATCAACACGTGAAAAATATTATTTTTATTTGCCATTACTGTATTATTAACAGCTATGAAATCAACGAAAAGATCTTGAACAATATTGCTGTTCTCTGCATTTAATGCCCAAGGTATCGTTAACGAATCAGACATTTAAGTTTTAAATAATTTTAAATGAACAATTATTTTCTGGAAAAAATACTTTGTCTTTTAGAAAAAAAATAATCATTATATTGAAAAATTGTTGGTACATTTTTTTGGAAAATTCCGGAACGCTAAATGGATTTTAGATGCACTGCTCTGTTTTAATAAGATAAATGGTAAATTATTGAACTCTCATACTCTATAAACTATCTATTGACTAGATTTCAAGTATGAATGGTCGTTATCATTTATACATAGACAAAGACGGAATCTGTTTAGACCCAGTCATACAATACATTTAGTTAGACTTATAAAAAGACATTACAATTAACGCCTACTCATACAGTTCCCTTTACATTCACTATTTAGGCGTTATACTTTCTTCAGTCTCTGTTTACAATACAATAACAACTTTTCTCATGTTTTAATTACTAACGATATAGAACACCTCATAAAAAACAACTAGAGTTTTTCTTTTTCATAACGGAACATATAATACAAAATAATACTCACATGTATTTAATCAAACAACAGAGACACATGAAACTAATTTAAAAATTAAATTAAAAATATTCTTAAGCAATTTAAATTCCCGACATTTAAGTCAGTAGAATTAATTTATGTTTAATTATAATTATTTTGGAATATAACAACTTTCACAGTAAATGAACGCCAATTTTGAAAAATGACCCACTATTTCCATTTTTCTTTTTTTTATCCTGTAAAGTTTAATTTTAGAAACATGACTATTTTTCGAAATTGCCTATTTAATTAAAAGGTATGGATTTGTGAAGAGGAAGAAATTAATATAGTAAATTAAACTAAACATAATATATAAATTCATTTTTATAATTATTACTAATTGTTATTGTTTATAGCAACACTTACAATTAGTAGATATAATAATATACAGTTACGGCGTCTGTCACGTTTCGCGTTGAAAAAATAGATCATCATTATATTAAATTATGTATATAACTTATAAAAAAACTAAGCTAAAACAATCGTGTATTCTTCTACGAGCAAACCCAGTAGGCTATTTTGATGTATTGTGAAAGTGCAGTATTCTACTTAAGTAACTGTTGACCATTTATAAGTCCATTAAATGTAATCGCTGTAAATTAAAAGAAGACGACCACGGGGCGGAGATTCTGTCAATTCATCGGCTTTAACATAATAATACTGTAATGTTTGTAACCGGCCCGAACGATGTAAACTGTATGTAATTAAGTCGACCGTAACGCGAGTCATTTTTTTGGTATTAAACGTCAATAATTGTTTATATATTATCTAAACACAACAGATGTAGTTCAATATTATTGAAATATATTAAGCAAATCATTGGTGCACAAAGTTCACGAGCTCCACTAATAAACGGATATTAAATCTTTTTCGTTTCCACCCATTAAACGACAGCCACAACCGGTTTTTTTAAATTACATTTAATATGGTGGGCAGTATAAGAGCTTAATAATATAATAATGGCCACGAGATGGCTACTATACCTACACCAAACCATGGGTAGATGGGCACATCACACATGCAGCAGAGTTGGACAAAATTTAATACTTATTACAATAGGTAAATTTTAGGTACAAAATAGGTATTTGTTATTTGTAGATGAACCATTATCTTGGTTTATTTTGAATGTATTATTATTTATTTATATTAATTTGCTTAATCAAAAATTAACTTGATTACTTAACATTTTTTTATCATCGATTAAAAGTATATTTGTTATTCATAACTCGATTAAAAATAATTTCTTGAATAATTAACAAATTAAATCATTTTTGCTTATGAATTATTACCAAAAGGATTTGGATTTATTTTATTAAGATTCCAATATTATGTAATACTCAACAACAAAAATTATATGAATATGTATATTAACTTTGTTTTTCGAATAAGTGATGGAATTAAAAAAAAAAAAGTATTTAATTAAACATTAAAACAAATAATAAGTAAATATCGAATAGTTTGTAATAAAATATATAGTTTAATTACTCAATTATAATTTTAGCATGTGTATAAAGTATAATTAATTAAACATTGTTTTATAGAAATACCTTAGAAATACGAAGTTAAAATAATATAATACAAAATTAAAATTCTAATCATTTAATATAAGTTCTAAAAAAATATGAAGTAAAAATATCAGACGTTGTTTAGTGTTAAATGATTCGTAATTAAATAAAAATAAAACATTTCCTGAAAGAAAAAAGCCAATTGGTATGGAGGGGAGGCTAATACCCCCGTGCGCACTCTTAAATCCCCCTATGTTTATATTTATTGCAGGTAGGTATATTTTAAACTCTATATCTACTATACGAAACTATGTAGAAAGGAACAAGTTTTGAACTGCAAGTATTTAATTTACATGGCAAGTGTAATCAAGTATATCATTTTTCTTTTATATGAAGTTAGACCTACAGATAGGTCTAACATAATGTAATGTGAAAAAACATTTTTTTTTTTCATAATGAAAAACCCAAAAATTGACTCAAACACTGTAAGTGTGCATTTTGAAAACATTGTGTGGGTTGACAATCTGAATATTTACTTATCGACCTGTTAATATCGCTCCTCCCTAAATCCTCTTACCGAAGGAAAAAAAATTCTAATGACCTTAAAATATTACTGTATGATGAAAACCAAAAATGATTCAAATATCGTCGTTTTTTCATTATTTTAGAAAATCGTCAATAAGTCAGATGGGCCATGCAATTCTAAAAATCCTGCATTTGTTGACGTTAGGTGCGCATTATTATAACGCAAACTCAAAAATCTAAAAAATGTTTACTACAGTCTTTTGAATGTGTAAGATTATTGTATACAAACGAATAATATATTTTCATTTACGTAAGCAGTGGCAATGGTACACAAAGTATCACACAAAACGTATTTTTCTAAAGTAAAAAAAAATTGTGTATCCGAGTTAACGCCTATGTAAGAATTCAATACACAATACTTTAGTAAAAAATTATATCTTTACATTTTTGTTTACTTTTGAACCCACTTAAGCGTTGTACAAAAACTTCGCATACTAACGATTAATATAATTTATACATGTGTACAATATGCGGTCTTATAATTAACTAATGACCCGATTGGTCTATAATTTTTTGAAAACTTTTTACAAACTTATAGTGTCTTAAAATAAATATTTTAAAATTGAATAGAACACAAAGAAAGTAATATTTTTAAAATTTATAAAACGTCTTTATTTTATAGAATTGGACGCTCAAACCAAATGTTTTCGCCGTAGTTCAAAGATGGGATGAGTACAGTTAGGGTTTTTTTTTAAATTTTAAAATCAGAAAAAAAAACATTCTTTGTAATTGAATATGAAAAAAATGAATTTATAAATGACCAGCAAAACATATTAAAAATGGGGCAACAAAAATTAGAGGCCTCATTTTAGACCAAAACGAACCAACATGTCCTCCTAAATACATTTACAATGACAGACTACCCTTCACAATTGGAAAAAAGTTAGAACAATCTATTGAACTAACACAATTGATAAATTTTGATTATTACTATCAAAGTTATACAGGTTGGAATACTTAGAGAAAATTTTGATCATGAGGTTAAGCCGTTTTTAAATGATTTTTATTCCTCTAAATGTATTGTTATTTTATGTAAATGACATATGATTTTTTTTTAAATAGAGCTGTTAACATTTGATAAGTAGAGTAAATGACTGATTTAATGATAGTTCGGGTTACATAAAACCCTCAAATTATTGCAGTACGTATTATACTAACCTAATCGCTATATTGAAAATATTAAGTTGACAATTAGCTACATTCCTAAATAAAAATAGTTTTTGCCTATATGGGAAGCACCAGCGTTACATTTCAGATTATATGTTTACCATAGTAATAATATAAGTTTCAAGTTAACAATAAAAATAATCAACAGGTAAGTAAACATTATAATTTGTTTCGTTGTAGATAAGTGGTGTCTAACTCAATATAATAATATGCAATGGTGCAAAAACGTTTTAATCGTGTACACAACTAATGCCTGCACTTGATATTTATTATATTTTAGACTATGTAATTAAATAGCTTCAAAATTAAATTTAATCTTATTTACAATAAATAATTATTATTTACTTAAATCGTTATATCTATTACATTAAAAGTTATTAAATAATGACAACAATAAAATCAAAAAAGTATTTTAAAAAAAGTAAAAGAAATAATTATTAATGATACATTTAGTTGTTTTAATATATAAAAATTCGATATAATAATTATAAATATCAAAATACTTTATAATTGAATAATATTGTTAATATTACAAAATTATAATACTAGTTTTATTTATTTTTTATGCATGTTTATTTTATGAGTTAGGACAATAGTTTACAATGATCATTTAAATTGATAATTTTACTCAAAACAAAATCGCATCTTTAAGTATTTTTTTAAATCGTCTGTACAACAAGAGTTAAAATTTAAAATCGTGTTTAAATAAATATTCTACATATACTGTACTTATTACTTACCAACACAAAATTAATTTTTTTATGGGAAAATCGAAAAAAAACAATAACGTTACGTAAAAAAACCACTTTACACTAAAAGCCAACACTTTTTGTTTCAGTATAAATTGTTATACATGAGAAATATATTTTTTAACGCGTGTATCAATTTTATTGCTTGACATAAGTAAATTTTGTAAGAGTGTTGGCTTCCACCAAGTATTTGATGTCATATAAGAATGTATAAAACATACCATATAGTGAACTTTTTGCGATAAAACAATTTTAAAAAATGTGTTTATAGGTATTAACGTGTAATCAAATTAAGCAAAATAAAAAATCCAAAAGTCAGGTAATGGTGTACGGTGGGTGAGCCATGGAATGTCTTATAACATTTTTTTTTTATATAATAAATACATTTAAAAAAAAACTGTTCTTATAAATAATTGATGCTATGCAATAAATAGTATGGTATGAATATTATAATTTTTTTTTTAAATATGTTAATTTGGTAAACATGTCCGACATTGCCTGACTTTAGGAATACGAGGCTTAAATATGTTTGCTTCGTATAATTATTATTTATATTTATTTTCTAGTTATTTGTTTTCATTCAAAACTATTACTGCTAACCATAAATCAATGTAAATAGTTTATTCAAATTATCAATTTAATTGTTTACCAGAACAGAAACCATTTTATTTCGAAGATATGATTATTAAAAATACATTAAATTAGAAGAATATTTACACTAATTTAAGTTATAAGAAAATCGTTTTAATGCTCGTGAACAAGGGATAACATAACTATATTTGTTATAGTTTAATATAATAATAATTCATAATTGAGTTTTGTAAAATGTGCTGTTTAAGGTAATGCTGTTAAACATAATATTATTGTTTTCCTTACATTTATATTTTTTGTAACTTGAAGTTCGTATTTTGTAAACTATATACATTTTAAATGCTATGGTTTAAAATTATTGTGAGACTGAAATAATGACGGAACCCAAACAATTATGTAAAAATATTTTATTTTGTCGAAGAGCTATGAAATAATATAAAACGATTGTAACTTTTGCAAAACACGAATAATATCATTACTGTGTAATTAGAAGGAATTCGATAACAAAAATATATAATATGAAAAGGTAATCGCATTTTTTTTTTATTATTATTATTGTATAAGTACGTCAAATCATGGCAATATTTCAACAAGATTTTCTTAAATATTTTGAGCGCGAAAAGATTACAACATAAAATCGATAACAAAACGATAAATAAATAAATAAATATGTTTAGTATAAAAAAAAAATCATCAAAGTACGATGTTACAATAGTTAAAATAAATAAATAATTTCATAAAAAATCGTATAAATAATAATAAAAAAAAATAATAAGTTATAGTCTTATTGTTCTAATCTTAACCGTTTAAGGGTTTTTTTTACACCGTTTAGATAAGACATTTACGATGTCATGTTATGGTGGAAATCGCGTGTGAGGTGTGAGGCGGCCTCTCAAAGGGCTTCGTCTCTGAGACTCGTGTCGTGTTGGATACCGGAAACGACGGGCGACGAACCGGATGGCGACATCATGGGCCCCTTAATGTGTGCCCGGTAGGCAGCCAACTGCGGGTAAGGCATCTCGGGTTGCGCTATGCTCCTGGCGTAGGGTCCGCTGTTGTCGTAGCTGCCGAACGTGTCCACGGCACCCGGGGCGGCGTACTGATGGGAATGGGACAGCACGGGCTGCTTGACTATCTCGTAGGTGGTCTTGGACGAATGCCCGTGTCCGCTGAACAGTTTCTTGAACGCCACCAGGATGGCCAGCGTCAGCGCTATCTTGCTCACCAACAGTGCTTTTCCGGCCAACAGCGCCAGCGCCTTGTAGGCCAACGCCAGCAGACCGCCCTTGAGCATCATCAAGTAAACGTGACCGCCCTTGTCCTTCTTCTTCTTGCGACCTACGAGTTAAAAAAAAAGAAAACAAATATCGTATAAGTCGCATATCGAAAAACTTACATCGACACGCATTGCGTTAACGATAGTCTGTAAGCGTCTCCGCATTACGGTAAGAGCATTTCAAGCACCCGTTTTGTTAAAACTAATAAACGCGTTGAATAATAAATAAAAAGCCGTTACGGTTGTATTGTTAATAATAATAAATGTACAAACGCAAAGCTGGATCAGTTTACGGTTGATAGTTAATGACACCACGCGATCAGTTTTGGCTGTTAGATATTGATAATTGCAATTACTTAAACGTTAAATATAACTCAAAGTCGAGGTATGAATGAAAGGTATTTTTGTAGAAAGAAATTTAATCAAGGAGAAAATTAATACTTTCTATATGGAGTCATTTTGAAGGAAAAAAATGTATTTTTTTATGATAAAAAAAAGTGTAGGTATTCACGCTGTCCAGCCTTGGGTGAATTACAAAATATATATTAATCGTAGTTAGTAAAGTTAATAATTTGTTAATGTATCTTTTAATCGGTTTAGTATTAAAATTTGATTATGGTTGTTTTGAACGTAGCCGAATCGTGCCGACTACGTTTACTTTGGACGTGTGCTTCAAACGTTGTTGTCATTACCGGCCAAGTACACACCGTCATCGAAGTCTCTACCCTCTTCAGTCAACGACTGAGGCATGGTCAGCTGAAGGGACCTAGACCGGGCAAACCTAGAGATCTTGTCGAACAACATAGAGTCTACTTGTTTGCTGAACTCGGCCGAGTTTTCGGGCACGACGTTTTCTGCTACTTCGCTGTTATCCACGTCCAAAGATCTGCCGTTAGCCTCAGATTTTTTCACCAGCGAAACGCCTGCAATAACACAATCAGAAGACGTTTGTCATTAAATAGGTACAGTTTCATACAGCATTATAATGGTCATTTATGCATTGTTATACGATCTGCTGGTTTGTTTTTGGTGTAACAAAACGTTTAAAAAAATTTAACTAAGTTTGTGACCACATAAAACATTTGTCAATTTTTTCCTAGGTTTAAAAAAACAAAATCTATTTAAAAACGAATAAATATTCTCCTTCTCTCATAATCGTTGGTTATTTGAGTTTCGCTCTACTGTAATATTTTATCAAAAAACAACTTGTATATATTGATAGTGCTCAAATAGAAACGTATAAAGTGGCAATTAATTCTGGTCTATGTCGAATGGCGTAATGGTTAAAAGAAATCATAGAAAATCGACAACTCAAAAATGTCTTAAACGAGTAAGACGAATCTGACTAAACTGATTCAAGCTTAATAGTATTACCGCTGAGTAGAAATGAAGTTTTTTTGGGTTGAAACAATACCGTACGTTTGCATCTCAGTGCTGAATAGAAACTATAACGTGCTCATCGTGGAGTCGCATGATTAGTCGCAAAAAGTCAGAACTCGTCTGTTGTAATAGCTGTTGCTTGATATATAGCACTTTGTATATTATAATAAACAGCTAATATACGTTAAAGCCCTAACACTGTTTTTGGTTTTCGAGAACGAATAACAGTAAATTTCGAAGATGAGCGCGTCGTTCATCATGGCGTTTAATTATTATTATTGTTAACACTTCGACACTCATCCTGTCAGATTTAATTACTTATCGTTATTATTACTACCAACTATGTATATATGTATATGTTATATTATGTTTAACCGAGTGCCGTTATCGAGTATGCACTGCGGCGACGGCGCTGAGAAAACAAATAGTCCTCTTTGGTGCGGCATCGTCGATCATCGATCGTTGTCAAAGAAACAGTGTATTATGCACCTAATATATGATCATGATTTACTGTTTTTGTGGATGATTTTCGCGTTAGTACTTACCGTCTGCGAGCTGGATGTTTTCCATTTGCGTGGCTCTGTCCAACATCCTCAGGGCTCTTCCTTTCAAGCACACCACCGTGTCCTGTTGGTCCGAACACTGCCGGTACGCGTTGAACAGCATACGGAAACCAGACGCTTCGGTCGAGGAAGCCGATGGCGGTGGCGACGCCGGCGACGGGGGTGGCGGTGCTTCTGAACTGACCGCGCACAATATCATCGAGCCCAAAAGAGCTACCCTGGAATTAGACAAAAAAAAAAAACATTTAAATCTAACAATGTTCATTTCTCCTTATTGTACAAATCCATCACGTCCATCAATTGTCTACTATTATACGCCAAAATAAGTCGATCCACGCAAACGATATTCCGACAGATCATAGACAACGCGTTTGTCTGTTCGCATCGACCAAATCCTTATTATTATTATTGTTATATATATATATATATATTAGGATTATGATCGTGTTTTCTACTCCGGCCCGAACACAATATAATAGTAAAATATGTATATATATATATATATATATTACAATTAGATCCGTAATATTATTATTGTAGATAATATTCATAGAATGTGAGAAAACAGTATAATACGATTGGCCTACATAGTATTTCGAGACGTTTAGTAAAATTGTAATAACAGGTACAAATGTGCAATTCACGAATGTCAGATTAAAAAAATATATATATATATTATAATATATCTGACAGTCTACCGGGTTTTCCATTTTTCCTCTTCGTTATTTTAAATCAAACCGTGTTTATTCGCTATTGAAACGCCGATAAAGGAATTCCGTAAAATATTTAATAAAATACAATATCTAAAATATCGTCATAAAAGTATATTGGCGTTGAATCAATTTGGTTACAGGCATATTAATATTTAAAACGTTAATAGGTATTGCCTTGGGATCCTCGGGAAATGCTAGAGTAATAATATTGGTACAATAATACCAACTCACAAAAATTTATATTATATACTAAAAAAAAATTGTAAAAAAATCCGCTTGGAGGCTTCTGCAGTTCCTGTCCCATATTTGTAAAGCAATCACTTATAAGGTTAAATAATTAATCTAACAATTAAAAATAATAAAACATTGAAGTTTCAACTATTAGCAAATATCTATAAGCATGTTTACTTATTTTGATGAGTACACAATAAACTCACGTCGGTGACAGTAATAATTACCGTGACGCGTCGGATTCGTGACAAGTCGCAAAATTTGAAAACCCGTTATTGTAATTTATATTTTATTAGATCCTACGTGGACCTGTGGGGCTATTGGTTTTTACATTCATGTTTTTTTTTCTTCTTTTATGTAATATGTCAGAAATCAGTTGACCGATTTCTTCATTAGGTCACACAACACAGATGGACCAGAAAACATAATTGATACCTCGAACAGCCCTAAAGTCAAAAGTTCCCTGGACCCTGTTATTCCCCTTATTTGTTTTAACAATTTTGGGTTCACGAATTTGATAATAAAGTCTAGCTGATGACTATAATAAACATAAAAAAAACGTTATCTATTTGTCCACAGTTTTACTATCAAAAAGTTTTAAACGAAAATGATTTGAACACGTTTATAATCCATCCCAACCAGTAGCAATGAGTACGAATAATTTGGCAAAATATCATAAAATGGATAAAATCTAAAAAACCCAACGTCGAATAATATTTTATATGCGTTCACTTTATTACAATATTTACTAAATTACTGATTTTAATAACAACCATTGCAAATCTATTTACGCGAAGACAGCGTAAGTGTTTTTCCGTTTTTTTTTTCAATCATTAAAAAGGAAATAATATATTTATGCATAAACAATTGCTTTTTGAGTCTACACGGACACATATAATAATAATAATAATAATATTATAAATGATTCGGCGATTTCAGATTAGAAAGCGCTTGGACGCACACGCGATGGTCGCAAAATCTCCTGCTCAATTTACCCGATAATGATATAGGTAATGACCGTACTGTTCAAATAACACAACGGCCGATTTGAATCGTTTATCCGAAATATTAATACTGAGTAATCATCATGAACCGAAATGGTTACGGTCGTTTCACGGTATCCAACGTTAGTGTGCCGAATGCGCCTCGTTAATTATTACATTGTTTAAACAACAACGACGACGATAGTTGAGAAGAAAAATAAATTATACTAGTAATAACGATAATATGATAAAATAAAGTCACAGAAAGCACAGTAATAATTATGATTACTCCAACGAGCAACCGCGGTTAAACACCGAAACGTCGAGGTGTTTACATGGTCTGATTTGTCGACTTTTACTGTTTGGACACGACAATCGTGTAGAGCGCACAAGTAGGTGTACAGGCTGTACCTATATAGTATAAATAAATTACAATATATGTGGCTAAATAGCTCAGCGTAAGTATATAGTTATATACCTACACCTAAAATACGCCTGTACCACCGGCCGCCGGATAATATACACATATCTGCATCGCATGTGGGTATAGCTATTTAATTCCTATACACATAGTGTTTTCATTGATCCTTCGCGATGACAATGCATGGTTATTGTTTTTTGTACTCTGTCTGCTCTCTCGCGGCGTTGATTAATCACAAAAGTCTTCTTTCCGCGTAAACCGTCATTATGTCTCTCCGCATGCCGACGTCGTCCCCTTGTGTTTTGGATTTAGGTACCGGCTCGAGTTCACTGGGCCAATACCCCTGGCTAGGCGCGCGACGATCGCCGCGGGTCTTACCTTACCACAGATGAGGGTTATGAGGCGTGGGGAGGGCAAATAATAGTCCAAAAACCGAATCAATTCCTGAGCCGATACCGTATTTCCTCGCTACTTTTTTGAAATGAAGTCGCTGTACCGTAAGGGTATCTAGACCAAGTAAACATTTTCATCAAGGGAACCAATATTCTTTCCGATCAGGCACGTTTTTAAAATGTTTAATTGCATAAATTACACAGCTGGTACGCTGATGAGGGGCAGATTTCGCCCTCGCCCGTCAAAAGATATGTTAGTTGGTGCAGATTAAAATTTTCAATTCCAATAGTCAGATGGAAACGTGGAACTTTGACTTTTTAGACTTTTGACTTTGACGCAGATTCGTTAAGTTTGAATTATTCGTCGTACAGCGTGAAACCGCCGAAAATCATATGCTTGGACCCGACGTAATTTAAAATATACCGGGTACCATTAAAAAAATAATAACGATATCAACGATGGACCGGGCAAGTACATAGTGTAACGATGGATTTTACCAGATCGACGGTACAAGGTATTTAGTGTAGACCAAGACGAATACCACGCGTCCAATTCATTTGTCTCACGCGTTTCGCCACAGTCAGCGGCCGCGGTTGCCTACATAGTTATATATATATTATACATAAGTATAATGTACAATGTAATATATTATTGTTGTATGCCTGCGCTCCGGAGTGTTTTTAGTCGGGCAAATGAGACAATTATTTAGCGTCCGTATCTTCCCGGCGGTTGCCTATATCCGTGTTATACCCGTCCGTCAACGCAACAAATAATACAAAAAAAAAAAAATATATATATATATATATATATATATCTTCGTATATAGATTTATATATTATACATTTTTACTCGGCCGACCTAATTTTTTATTATTTCTTTTTTTCCCATTTATTTTTCGGACGCATTCTGTAACAGAGCTGTGCGTAAAGACCACTGCGGACGATCGGTATGCGTCGTGCGTACAGCAGCAGCTGCTCTGGGACACATTAGTGATAATATATTGTGCATCAAATATATTTATAAATATTATTATATTCTCTATTTTATTATTATTTTGTTATCAACATTACACGGATGTAGTTATATCTAATGTAAATAATACAACGCCTGTGTGAACGACGGACGCCCGCCGCCGAAGGAAACCAGTACGTTTCGCGAAAACGGGTTAACTCGATCAGTGGAAACTGTACCTACACACTGTTGTTATGTTCAAAAGTTTTAATGTCACACGCGTTGAGTGGAATAATTGCGCAATGACTGTCACTTTTATGTGTAATTAACAAAACACACGTGTACGATTCCGTCCATTATGATAGCAGCTCCGGTGTTTTACATTATTCCGACAATATAATGTAGGTTACCGTAGTGCAGTACCCGGTATGCGTGTTAGCCCAGAAATCGTCCGCCGATTTTTTTCAATTTTTATATTTTAATAGCCGAGCGACATTGGCGTAAATCAGGAAAGGGGATACTTGGGATACTAGAAAATCGTAAAACTTAAAATTAGTGATTTTCAAAATACCTACAATTATTTTTTATTGAAGATTTGTTGAAATAAAAATAAATGTAGCACTAATTTTAAGCCTGAAGGGTTTTAAGGTTTTTAGAATCCCCCCGATCTCCGCAAATGTCGAACGCGTACCTAATGTGTATTCTAATCGACATAAAACTTCCAAGCGCAACAGTTGACAAGTACAATTGATAGGTCATCCAAGTTACTGTGGCGCGTTCGAACAAACATAATATTTTATGAAACGGGTAATACCTATGCAGTCTTTAAGGCTGTGCAAGTTGACGGTATACATTAACTTTGTTAGAGTTAAATTATACTAATTACATTTAAATATGGTAAAACCAACAATAAAACAAACATTAATTTGTTATTCTATTATGTTTTGTCTTTATGAAATGTACTTGAGCCTTTTGGGCTATAATTGTTTAAATTAATTAATAATATGATCATTTATTTCCTAAAATTAAGTTAAAAACTTATAATGAACTGAATAAATTGTATCAAAAATAAAATTAAGTTTTAACTTTTAATGATTTGTATAAGTATTATTTATAATATGAATACGTATAACGTTATTAAACAATAAATTACTAAATTATTTAGAATGATTAAGTAAGTTCTAACTAAAAAATAATTTGTCCGGTTAAAAGTTAACTTCAGCTCTTTGACAATTTCACGATTCAGGTCCGAATCTAACCTACTACGTCTCGTTAAAATGCACAAAATAATAGTTATTAGCACATGTCATTATTCACTAGACCAATACGTCTAGCTATTTTAATTTTTGACAAGTATTCTATGTTTGCTAAATAACTGTCTATAAAAATTCTCATACTTAAAATTCAAAAACATATAATAATTTATTGTTACTGAATGTTGTCAACGGAAATTGATGTTCGTCAACCAATAAAATTGTTTTAAAAAAATTGATTTAACTATAGATTGATAAGTACAGAACTATAATAATCATGTATTACATGTATGTACCTCTTATTGAATACTTTACAAAGCCTGGAAAAACTCAAAAGCCATAAAACATCACTGATTTACTTATGGTAAAAAATACAAACTAAATATGAAATTTATGCTGTGGCAAGAAAAATATATAAAATAAGTAGTTTTGAAGGAACCTAATGAACAACTACCCTATTTTATTTACTCAAAACAGCAACTAAATATGTTTCACACAAACCACATCATTAAGCTATACACTTTGTTTAAAAAAATGCAATACAAGTTAATATAAACACAAAAGTTAATAATTGTATAGATGTAATTTAAGTGTTCTTTTCAAGACCTAACGTTTAAAAATTGAATATATTAAAATTGGTGCGAGATACAGGCAAGATTTTTTTTTAATTCTAATAAATTTGCAATTAATTTTAAATAGTTTTATGCTATGGATTACTGGATACTAATTGTCATTTGACGCCAAATAATAATAAATAAATAATCATATTGCAAGTCCAACTTTTCTTTAATTAATTTTTTTAATTTAATTATTATTTTGTTAGATATCAGTACTAAAAATATGATAAGTCACAGCTCAAATTGTTTTAATCAAAACTATTTAGTTGGTACTACAAATATTTGGAATACAGTTTGATTACAGTTAGTAGATATAAATTTTAACTAAAAATGTTTGTTGCTTTGAAAAAGTCAAACCTGAGATTAAAAAACCAATAAAGTTCAAAAACTAAAAGTAATTCGACTTTTTCGAATGTGTTTAATTTTTATGGTTAAAAAATAGTAGCATCTATCAGCTTGTGGTAGATCCGGTTTTTTTAAAATCCCATCTCATATTGAGATTATGGTTTGAAACCTTAATGATAAGTCGATAATACACGATATAGAATCAAACCGTTCATGTATTTTAGTATTATGCATACGTTACATAGGTAACTAACGAACAGCATTTATCGGTTACCGAGTGCAATATCGCCGAGATATTTAAGTCGTCCAAAAGAAATCCAGAAAACCCGTAAATTAAATTCGACAGATGCTAGCGTTAACCGTCCATTTGACATAGTTGAAGCAAAATCTACACTAACAATTATTTATGTAGTATTGTTATTATTTCGCTTAAACGGTATATGTTGTTCAAAAGGCGGAAACTTCAATAGTCGCATCGTTTTCCGGTAGATGCGATTATTATGACCTCGTGCACTATTAAACGGTAATATACGCGATAATAGTACTTGAAAAAAAATATTATTAAGTAAAAATATGAATTTACCATAACACCGACGTATCCATATTTGTCGTTAAACGGCGGCGGCAGCGGCAGCGGAGTTGGTGGAAAATTGCGAGGAACTACGGACGGTTGGTCACTGATGACTGAACGATGATCCGCCGGCGGTCGCTCGTTTTATTCGGCCGTGCCTGGGTCGCCGGGGTTTGCTGTGTGCGGTGTGTGTGTGTGTGTGTGTGCTACCGGCACAAGGGGCACACGCCGAAAACGGAGATGGTGGAAGAGACGGCGGTGGAGATGATGTCGGCGGCGGTGGTGGTGCTGTTGTGCAGGCGACGAAGACGACATATGGTTATAGTAACAGAGCGTAAATAATGAAAAGTGCTCTACTTGGCCATTTGATGAAAATTACATGCCGCCTTCCATTGAATTATCCGGGCGGCCTTGTGCAAATACACGCGGTGAAAATCTTTTACAAATTATTATAATATTATTATTATTATTGTTATTATTATCATTATCGTCATCGTGGTGATTTTTTTGCCCTTTTCTCTCGCGCTATCCTCGTCCGTTCCTCTCCGCCGGCGGCCGTTGTTCGGCCAGGATAATAATTGTTGTGCACAGTCAGGAACACGCGCGGGTTTTAATCGCCCTATTGACGTTTACCCGAATAATAATAATAATAATGATGATGATGAAAAGTCTATGCGTACCGCCGCAAACGTATTAATAATGTATGCATAGGTACACCGTGTACAACAATGAGATAAACATTCGATCGACAGCGACCTGTCAGTTTTGCATGTATACCAGAGAGCACTATTCACGATGACGTGTAGGTAATAAACGTTAATTTGCCGGAAAACCGATATCCGCCTGATAATCCGTACACTATCCACATTAACACGCATTGTCCGCCTGATCCGAACTGAGCGGCTAGAAAACCCCTGTGCCACCATGTCCGGCTGCAAATTGAGCGAAAAACAGGAATTTGTGCGATTTCCAAATGCGCTTTATAACACTTTGACGGATCATATTTGTCGCGAGACGCCTTTAAGACGTTTGCGTTCGAAGAAAATTGTACATTCGAGGAACATAAAATATGTCCAGATGACGGCTTGTATATTGTAGAAGTGCATTGGCGAGACCGGAAAATGACATGTGTTTTTATAATCGCGTAAAATGTATATTGTACCGCCGGCGTTCAAAATTCCCCTTTTACTTTTATGCAGAATTTCTTCAAAAATAAAATATTAAAACGACAAGAAATTACTCGTTTACCGTGTATACCTACCTCAAAAGTTTCAAACGTGCAACAACTTTTTTATTACTAAATCTTTATGCTTACACGATTAACTTGATTAAGCTGGAGTATGGGACTTGCCGAAATTACTAAGTTAACATAACTCTATTGCGAAGGAACGCTTGTCGATGTATCATCAGAACGGTTCATACGATGATTAGGATGGACCGTTTCACTTATTCAAGCTCCTCACATTATCGAAGAAGTTGATTATAAGTATATTATGAATAATGTGTTGTGGCATAATAAAATTTATCCTCGACAAAACATCCTTGTTGTACTAAGTAAAACTAAGCAAAATATATTCTTAACAACAATAATGAAATGGTTGGGTACTTAAACCATTTATATAACATTAATTCTAAGTAGTTTAGTGAGTTAAATTATACCTATATTATGAAAAAAAACCAAATCTGTATAATACAAATTCTTTAACATAATTTAGATCAATATTAAGGAGTATATACTTCCTTTTTAAGCAATCATTTTTGAAAATAAAGTTACATCACTATTACCTTTAATCGTTAATTTCTTATTTATTTGATTATCGAAGTGATTTATACAATGTATTGTATTAACAAAAAACAGACTTGACAAAAGCTCAACATACCATTATGAAGAACCCTGAACGTCCACACTACCTTATACATTTACAAAGCTTAACACGTTTTTATTATATTATACTTTGATAAAAATCACCTAACTTTTTTCAAGTGAATATTAACCATGTTCGTAAGTTTAACCAAAATTACCAAACATAAAATGTATATTTCAACAATCTATTTAAAAGTTTTCAAAATATCAAAATTACATTTTCAACTGTATGCGAAGTAAAATAACTGTATGTTACTGATTATGTTTTTTTTATTAAAAATTATATTTAATCTGTACTATATTCTAGCAAGATAATTCATCTGACGTATGTGTTAAAAAATAATAGGTAAGAATTAATGTATGTATATTAATTATTTATTCAAATTATTTTTTTCATTAATTACCATAATGAAGTTTGGCACATCAGAAAATAAGAAAATCAAAATATTTGAAAGTCAGACGTTAGATTCGATTATTTAATTGTTTCCCGTGTTATAGCTACAAGCATGTTACTTGGCAGTTATATTTTTTTTCTTTTATTATAATAACATAATGATTTTGGATTATTAATTTTAACATTGTTTTCGATTTACATTTTCAATGGGAATTAACACCTAGAAAGTACTATAATTTCCTTGTTCGTTTTTTTATTTTTTTTTATTAAAACTGAAAGCGATTTTTCTCTCCTAGATTCTTGGCTGTACGATATATCCTAGAAGGCAAGCCACGCACGTACGCATTGTCTAAGACGCCCGGAATTTGCTTAATGGACTAGGTTTTGGCATGAGGCTGGGCAACAATGGCACGCAAAGTCAATAAACGGGCCGTTATTATTGTTATTATGAAAAAGTGCCTCCGCTTTGTTACAAAAGTGTGTCGAGATCATCCTGATTGCCGCTGATTAAATACCTCGAAGTTGCGGTGCATGTTCAAAATTCAAATATTCTACGACAAAAATGTAGAAAAACTGTCAACGAGTGATGTACCCGGAAAAATACTGGTGCGGTTCGATAGTTAAAATAACCATCATAGTACGGAATCCATTATACGCCATCGATACGGTCATGTTGACTAATAATAGTGCGTCAAGCTATGTATTGAGTAGACGACTATAACTGTTTACAACACGAGTTTAGGTTGTTCTATATAAAATTATACTATAAATATGATTAAAGTCTATATGAAATGCAATAATTAATTTGGTAAGAAAAAAAATCAATACCACTTTTAACAGTAAAACTATCATTCTCTTGCCGAAAAAATCAACTGGTACCCCTTTGCCGTCTAGGGTTATTAAAAATGTAATACACTGAAGCGCAATTGAGAAATTTCAAGATGATCACCGAAGCGTTTTCTCGAGTTTTCATTGATAATTATTGTATCAATTTTAAATGTTTTACTTCTTCTAACCCAATCACCATCTATTAGTGCTAATATGTTTGTCTACATTTCTTATCGTTTTTGTATAGGTGTTGTGGTTGATATAAATCGCAGTATAAAATGTATACAAAGTTACTAAAATAGTTGCGTAAATTATACGATTTTATTTAAGTATAAAAAAAATAAACAGATTAGTCGATACTTGATACTATACATTATGTTTGTGAGGTCAACGAAACGGGCATATTCGATACGACAGTTTTCCTGCCATTGTTTATATTGCATTCATATAGTTTTATAATAACTATCACAAGAGATAACTATCGGTCAGGCTATAAACGCCTGCTAATACCAGCAGCTAACAACGTAACATCATTATGTTAGACATTCGGATCAAGTTTTTACGGTCAATACTTATTGTAATGACAATATGGCCAATTGGGCAAAATTATTGTGAGCTACCGAATACGGTAAACATCTATATAATGTAGAAGACCTGCCGAATGTCCATCAGTGTTGGTATTACTCTCTTCTTGGTCAACATGCGGTTTGATAAATCTGTACTTTTGTCGACAATTATTATTGTCATCCAAACAAAATGGACTCGAGCGGCTTCGGTGGGTTCGAAGTCTACTTGTTGCTCCGACTTAACACCAGCAGAAAATGTCCAAGAGATTCGTGACCAACTAAATGCTAGGAAATCCACAACGGCTGTCAACAACACAGGAATCGACTGGAACTCTATCAAGGCCGTACCCAGAGAGCTCAATGATGTTTTTAGCTGTGTGTTTAACCAATGGAATAATCATTCAGACTCGTGTATCCACTCGTTTTCATCTTGGTTTTACGGCGAAGACACGGCAGACAACCAAATAACAGGTTTGGCATGAGTGTTATGATTATCTATTTCTATTATAATTTAGTATGCTATATTATACCGCTAGCTACTGTAATATTTCTGGTATCGTTGAATGTACCCCAGAACTTTAGTCAACTACTAGTAAGTGATACGAATTTGTGTCACTATAAAGATTTCAGCTATTCTAATGTTATTCATATTATATTGTTTAGAAAGAAAAAAATCGAAACTAAAGCATTGGGACGCAGAGACGCTGTTGTACAGCGTGGGACTTAAGCTCCTCTTCTTTTTACCACTGTTGGCTGTGTTGGCGGGGAAAGCTATTTCATTTAGCCTAATATCATTTATAATCACATCTGGTGCTTTTCTACTGAAACCTCAATTAGAAACGGCTTTTAAGCGAGGCGATTTTCACACCAACGCTTATTCACCGTCGTCTGGTTACTTTATGTAAGAAAACATTGATTAAATAACAATTAACTATTTTTAATATTTCTATGTTTATTGTGAAAATTTGATTGGTAACACATTTTTTAAATATTGTTGTGTTTAATTTCTTTAATAAAAAAAATAATTTTATAATTTATCAAGATTAAAAAGTTCACTAGGCCTTATAAGGTGCTTAAGTTAAGCTCTATAATTAAAAGTAAACACTAGACTGTAATTTAGTTATTTTGAGTAAAACTTAATTGCTGTAACTAAATAGGATAATAAGTGAAACTGCTAAATTTTCGATGAAAAAAAAACATGTTACATTTTTTATTTAACTTTTTAATGTATTATCACGTTAAATTTATTGATTATTTCCTTTGAACATTTTGCAGTCGTCCTACATAATTAAAAATTAAGTACCTAGATATTAAATTGGTCAAAAATAAATAAATTACTAAATTTAGTTTATTAACTTACATTATTAAATAAATTAAAAACTAAAACACAAAAAAAATATTCAAAACTAAAAAATACATCAAGAATAAAAATCGACGTCTTTTTGAAATTATTTAATAGATTATATTTATACAAAATAATTCTTAAAA